CCCGGTTGAAGCCCTATGGCTCCCATTCTTTAATAATCTCCCTCCCAGTCCAACTCACAGACGAGTGAGGTGTGCATGCATCATGAAGTTATTATGTGGTGGGGAACAGGGGGAGGGGAGGGGGATGGGGGGGGGGTGAACACAAACACCAATCAGATTTCAGCCTGGCTTTGAATTTTTCATGTGACTGAAATATTGAAGCTCTTCACCTGCAGAGAGCGCCGCTGCGTCCAACCAACGTCTCCTCAGCAGGTGTTTTAGATTCAGGACAGACTCCACACCATGAGCTGCTGTCTCACCTTCATCCTCCCTGTCTCACCTTCATCCTCCCTGTCTCACCTCTCCCTGTCTGTCTCACCTTCATCCTCCCACCTCCTCCTCCACCCTGTCTGTCTCACCTTCATCCTCCCCCCTCCTCCTCCACTTTTCTTTTCTTTAAGTGTCACATTCTTTCATCTCTTGTCCGTCCTTCCCATCAACCCCCTGACCCTTGTCACCTCTGCCTCCCTCTTTTCTCCCTCTTTTCTCTCTCTTTTCTCGCTCCCTTTCACAGATTTCCCTCCTCCCTCAGTCTCTCTCTCCCTTCCTCACCCTCTCTCTGTCTGTTCTTCCATGAAATTAAAGCGCTCTAAGCTGCTGTTTAATCAGAGGGAAAGTGCTGCAGTGACACAAACGGCCCGTCCTGTCAGTCGTCCTGTCGGTCGTCCTGTCAGTCGTCCTGTCAGTCGTCCTGTCAGTCGTCCTGTCAGTTGTCCTGTCAGTCGTCCTGTCAGTCGTCCTGAATCTGTACAAAATTGGTGTGTGTGTGTTAGAATAATCCAAACATGTCTTGAGATCCATCCATGTGACCTTCTGCTCACAGACTGGTGTTCAGACGACCGTTGGTCCATGAACCATCAGTTGGTCCATGAACCATCAGTTGGTCCATGAACCAGTTGGTCCATGAACCATCGAACCATCAGTTGGTCCATGAACCATCAGTTGGTCCATGAACCATCAGTTGGTCCATGAACCATCAGTTGGTCATTAGCTGCTGGTGTCACTGGTACGGTGATGACTAAATAAGTCAGACCAATGATCACTGACCACCAAAACTAAACCTTTTCACTCACGGTCCACAGTGGGTTCTAACCTTTGACCTTTGACGGGGGCACCTACTGGGAAACACAGGCATTACATGGAAACACCGTCCAGGGAACAGAAGAAGAAAAACATGTTGCTCAAATGAAAACTCACACACACACACACACGTGGGTTCACACACATCCCCAGAAGCATCACAGCAGCAGACATGATTAATTTGTGGGAATCTCCAGAATCGTAGAACTGGCTACTGCGTTTATGGTCGTAAATTTACTGTTTATGTGTTTGTGGCAGCGGAGCAGGAAACAAATGACGTGTCGTATGTGATTTATTGTACAAATCAAGCGAGTCTGAGCACTTCCTGGACTTGGTGACACCCCCACCTCTCCAGCCCCCCCTCCCCTCCCCCCACACAAACTCACTCCAGAGCGGCTGCAGAAAATCCCAGTGACAGCAGTCGTTGTGTCAGGCTGCAGCTCCTGTAGGGGGCAGTAGAGGTACAGCTCACCACGGGGACTGTTGCTGGTGTTGTTGTGCAAGAACCTGCAAAAATCTGTTTATTTGTGAGACGAAGTCGGAGGAAGAGGGTCCGGGTGCACGAGTGATCAAGCGGAAAAAAAACAAGAAAAAAGAAATTCCAGAAGTGAAAGGTATTGAAGTTTCATCTTACCTCTGCTCCCACGCAGACGGTGGAGGTAGAATTGTCTCTTCTGAATCTTGTTCATGCCTCCGTTTGCCTCTATAATCTGTGGCAGAACAACAGGCTGATGTGATCAAACAGTGGCGTCTTCTTCTCTGGTTATTAAACATCATGTCTGACCCAGATTCCTTGACAGCTCTCACCGTCACCGTCACCGTCACCGCCTCAGGATCTGACGTGACTCAAACTCCACCACGTCACTGTCAAAACCAGCTCCTCATCAGTGGCCAAAGTCACCACTCTCTGCTCACTGTACGCACTCCCTCCCTCCCTCCCTCCCTCCCTCCTTCCCTCACCCACTACTACAGGGTTAATTAAAAACAACCACGACGTCAAACGACGACATTCAAACTTTTAAACACTTACGTTGTTACGTTGTTTCAGACAAAAGTCTGAAACAACGATCCCAACGTTCATGTGGGTCGACTGTGTTTATAATCCTACGTTTGTTTGGTTTAGTTTAGTTGAATTAGTAGTTACAGAGTTAAAATGTTAACAAGTGAAATCAGAACCAAAAGTGTTTCTGTTTCTCAGTTCAAAGGATAAAAAGATAAAAGGATGAAGTGTTGACCGTTGGTCTCTGTGGTTCACAGCAGTGAGAGGATAAAAGCCCAGAAACAGGAACAGGAAGTGGAACAGGTAGAGGTACAGGTTAGCTTAGCCTAGCTTACAGCTGTGACCAGGGCTTTAATATGAAAAAACAAAGACATCCATACAGGAGTGAAGTATCACTGGACACCAGCAGGAACCAACCAACCAACCATCCAACCAGCCAACCAACCATCCATCCATCCAACCAACCAACCCACCAATCAAGGATTGGAGACCCTCTGATGTCTTTCAGAAGGAGGTGGAAGAGAAGTTTCTGGAACTGATTTAAAGGAACTTCTTTCATCTGTTCTTCTGTCCGTCGTCTAAGGTTGGTGTTTATGTTTTGGTCTTTATGTTTTAATCTTTTTTCCAAATTTAGTTTCTGTCAAACTGTTTCTCAACAGGTGGTAACATCGTTAAAATGATCAGTTCAAGTTATTAAGTACTGGTTAGTTAGTCGGTCTAAGGTCTGGTTGGTTTAACCCCCCCGACCTCCTCATCTTTCCACTGGCTCGTCCAATCACGTGCTCTTCTCACGGCCCTGCTCTCTGAGAGTTTCTGTCTTTTTTTCCCGATGGAGAAGGGTTCTCATTATGTTCAGTGGCTCCCCCTTCAGGGGAGTCAATTAGAGAGACTCGGCAGAAATGATTGGTTTTCACGACGGTTGCTGAGTGGCTGTGCTGACAAACACAGGCTGCTGATTGG